ATTATGTCAAACCTTTCGTTAATGTTTCTGAACTGTCTTATCATAAATTGTCTCTCTTGTTTGTACTTCTGACATACTTTTATAACACGTTCTATGGTTTCATTTTGTCCACAATAATCACATTTCCCTGTGTTATGTTTTTGTATTGCAAAAAGTGTAAAATTAAGTCCTGTATGTCCAAATCTCAACCTTGTTATCACTCTTTCTTCTTTTCTGCTCCTTTTTCCATCTCTCGTTTCTCCTACCACCCTTTGGATCKTATAAAACCACCTCCCTTTGTTATCTCTCTCCCATCTCTTCTGCCATTCTTTCTTCAGTCTTTCTTTAATTATACTTTTTTTGCTTCAGATTTACTTGTCTTAATTGTTATGTTAATCTCACTTTGAACTGCTTTCTTTGCCATTTTATCTGCTTTTTCATTTCCTTTTACCCCTATGTGTGCTGGTACCCAGAGAAAAACAAACATTAACCCCATCCTTTGTATTCTGAATAATGAATGATTAATTTCTAGTAAAATGTCTGGTCTGCTGTCTGAGTGATTGTTTTKTAAACTCATCATTAAAACTGAACTTGAGTCTGAACAGATTATGGCTTTTATAGGTTTTACTTATTCTACCCACTGTATGGCTAATAATACTGAAATCATTTCTCCTGTATAAACTGATTCTTCTACTTCTGGTTTAATGGCGGTTGACAGACTGTTTTAGTGCATTACTGCTACTACTAGACTGGATGGTTGAACTGGAGAAGGCAGGCAAGAAGGGGGAAAATACAAACCTATATTCGACTAAATAAACCTGTTGATTTCAAAAATAAAATTATTTTACTGAATATGTTGGCAGATTTATCCTCCAAAAGCATTGATAATGTAAAGTTCTGCTGTTTTCCATTACTTAATGACCTAAAAAGATGATCTCTGTGATTTCTATATTTGTTACAATGAATCAATAGTTCCACTGTCTCTGACTGATTACAATATGAACATGTTGCTGTTGGATGTTTACCTATTATATACAGAGTTCTGTTTAAACCTGAGTGTTCTATTCTAAGCTGAGTAAAGACATTTTCTTCTTTCCTAATTCATATTGTTTTCCTTCCTAACCCTACATGTTTTTGTATACTGTATAAATGTCTTCCAGTTTCTTGTAAATCCCAGTAATCTTGCCATGCTGTTTGTGAATATTCCCTAATGAATGGTTTAATTTCCGATTCTATTGAATTCCTTTTTAAAACCTGTTTTGCTTGAGTGTCTGCAACTTCATTTCCTTCTACACCTACATGTGCTGGAACCCAAAGTAATCAAATCTTTATACACTTAAGTTATATTCTGTATAGTTACATAAATTTCATTAATGATATCTGTTCTTGATGATTTGTCATTTGCAATACTACTGAGTGCTGAAATACTGTCAGAGGATATTACTATGTTTTGTTTTCCATTTTCCTCTATCCATTGCAGAGCCAACAATATTGCTATACGTTCTGTAGTGTATACTGATAAATGATCTGAAATTTTCCTCTTAATACAGATGTCATTTGTTGGAATACAGTGGTTTGCAAAAGTATTCATACCCCTTGAACTTTTCCATATTTTGTCACATTACAACCACAAACATAAATATATTTC